CATATAAATTAGTAAGTCAGGTGGAACTGATAGTTGTAGATGATAAACTATAGTCTTTTACAAAGTGACAGATACCATTTCTCCTGGTTAAATTAGAAATAATACTTGAATGTCCTAAGAATGTGAGAATGACCATTTTTGTCTCTTCATTCTCCTTCTATCAGGTTAAGTAAAAGTGGGGAAAGTCATTGCATTTAAAACTTCTGAGTTAATCAGTATAGTCTACAGAGATTTCAACCAAATCATAATTCAACTTTTCTCTTCCAAAAGCAATGTCTTTTCTATTGAATTTCTGTCATAGCTGGTAAGAGATGTTTTAAGGATTTCACTTCCTGTCACCTTCCTGTTTTTAGAGCAGTTAAAATTGTCTTTCTCCCCCTTGGACATTCACAGATAATCACAGAAGGTTGGGATTAGAAGGTATCTCTGGAAGTCCTGTTGTCCAAACCCCCTTTTCATCTCAAGCAGGGCCACATGGAACTATTTGCCCAGGACCATGTCCAAATGGTTTCTGGATGTCTCCAAGGAAGGAAACTCCATATCCTTTCAGGGCAACCTGTGCCAGTGCTTATTCACCTTCACAGTAAAGTACTTCCTGATTTTCAGATGGAACCTCTTGTGGTTCAGTTTGTGCCCACTGCCACTTGTCCCATCTGTGGGTTCCAGCCTGGCTCTAACCTCTTTACACCCTCCCTTCAGGTATTTACATATATTGATGACATCCTCCCGAGACTTTCCTTCTCCAGGCTGTATAGTCCCAGATCTCTCAGCTTTTACACATAGGCAAGATGCTCCAGTTCCTTATTCATCTTAGTGGTCCTTTGCTGGACTCCCTGCTTCTCCTTCTTCCCCACCCTTTTACCCTGTTCTGGTGGGGGCTTTCCATGGGCTGCAGTCCTTCAGAATAAACCTGTTACAGTGTGGGTGGTTCATGGCCTGCAGACTGACATAAAAACTTGTCTCAGGCACCTGGAGTATCTCTTCCTCCTCTGACCTTGGTGTTCCCTCTGCTGTTTCTCACTACTTTTTTTTTTTTTTCCCCCTCCTTCTCTGCCTGTCAAGAATTGCTTTTCCAAAGACACCATGAGCTCTGCGTCGACCCTGCACTGGGTCCACTGGAGCTTGGGGGAACTGGCTGTGTCAGGCAGAAGGCAGCTGAGACCTCTTTTCACAGAGGCAACCTCTGCAGCCCCCCATGCCTGTGCTGCTAACACCTTGCCACAGGCATCCAGTACACCCTCCTTGGTCCTGTGCATCTGCTGTGCCGGTGTTGTCATCTACACTTCTCTGCTCTCCAGTCCCAGTGCCTGGTCTTTATCTATATCTCCTCTTGTTGTCCAGACTAAGGGGGAAGGCTTTCTCTGAGTAGTTTCTGTCTGCAACTCCTAGTAACTGAAGTTAGGCACTTAAACACGTTCAGAGGGTTTGTCCAGGGTCACTTCTGGAAACTTAACCCTTACTAAGAAAGCATGAAGTTATACTCTATTATGAGCTTTGGTTCACTTCGGCCTAGGGAGTGCTCCTTTTCATTTTTATAGGGGTTTGCTGAGTACAAGGAGAAACCTCAATATATGACCCTTGCTTCTGTTCTTTTTTCAAAATTCCCAGTGAAATGTTCTCATTAGTAACCCTACCAAAGGATATTACAGGTTCTTCTGCTGTTAAACTGAGAGGAGAAGCTTGAAAAGTTCCTTTCAGTTACTTACCCATTTCAATTGTGAAGGATAGTGCAGGTTTGAATGACTCAGACTAGTATAAGGTTAAACATCTTTGATTTTTTTGTTGTATTTTCTTTATGCTTTGCATTAAAAAATAAAAACCTAATGAGCACATCTAAAAACTCCATCCATTTAGTAGTCTGATGAACAATGTTTATATGAATAAGTGAAAATACAGTCAGAATTACATGGAATGTCATGGACATTACTGGGATAATTCTTCTTTGGATCAAAAGTCAAAACAAACATTTTTCAATGGATCGGGGCTACCACAGACCCCACAGTGGTATAATAACATTTTTTTAATAGGAGTGAAAGTTATAGCAAAGAATGATTTCTTAGCAGCTCTACTATGTATAATCATTATTTTTTTTTCATATGATTGATTCTACAGTACCAAGGGTAAGAGAAATGATTCAGAAAACCTGAATTTATAAATGTTGAAAGGGCTATTCCTGTCGCACGAACACAATAACTGTGGAACTCATAGTGTGGAAGTAGAGCATACGGAGCTGTCAGTGGTAAAGACTCACAAGCATGCAGTGATAAAAGTGTGCCACAGTCCAGGGTGCTGCAATGTCAAAGACAAGAATCAAAGGCCCTGAAACAGGTGCCTGTAGCCTCATGATTAAAGCAGGCTTCTAGTGCACAGCACGCATGTAGCTTAATTTCTTGCATTTGATAGGGAAATTTAACCAAGGTCTCCCACTTGCTGAGAGAGCATTTCATATAAGATCAGTGATTTTACCTTCTCTGTTCTTTAAAAGAACTATTCCTGGTTACCTGATAGAGAGAAACACATGCAAAACATCTTGAGAGAGATGACAAAAGTCTAGGGAAAAGGAGAGTAATGGGAGACTATGAAGTCTGTTTTCCATGAAGTTTTTTGTTGCCTATATCTAGGTGGCTTGTTTTTTAAATATTCTTATTGCACTATGTTTAAATATTCTTATTGCACTATGCCTGCCTTTTCAGTGCACTGCACTGAAGTCTGTGGCCCTGGCACCTGCACAGGGAAACAGAAGGGAGTAGGCTGCAGTGGGAGGATGAGAACAGCAAAAGCAGGTACCTAAGAGCTGCCTGCTTCAACACTGACATTTACATCCTTCACTAAATCTAGTTCTTTGCCCCATTCTCCCAAAACTGAAGTTCACCATTATGGCTGAAAAGTGGCCTTCTGCCAGGAGACTGCCATATATGTAAGCTGCATGCCAGTCACTGAGGATCACTGACCTCCCTTTTGCTGCCTCTGTCCCACTTTTCGTAAAAGGCTCCCTGCACTGGAAAAGGGAATATGATGCCTCTCAGTGACTGCAGGGATAGAAGGACCTGATTCCTTATTTTCTGTTCCCATAATTATATTGGTGTTTCATCCAGTTATAGTTTCATGTAAAATGCAGGAAGCAGAGTTTGAACTATGTTTTAGTCACCATGAGTAAAACCTTGCCTTCTCTCTTTCATTAGCCATATCCTTATTACTCCATGAAAAAAAGTTTTTGTTTCCATAGAAGCAAACTTGAATCCCAACTTCCACCCCCACATACCCCTTCCCATCCCTTAATTCTCTTTCTTCTGCCTTTCCCTTGTAAATAGTTTTTCAGTTGGGGACTTCTCTGGGAAACAGGAGACGTGGTTTAAAGCACCTCTGAAATTTGGAGATAAATGTTCCAAGAATTACTTTACAAAGCAAAGAGGCAACCCTGCTACCTCTTCCAGAAGATGCCAATGCACAGAGCAGTACCTGTCAGAGCAGGTCCTCAGAGAAAACAGTAGCAAAACACTTTGTTTGTGGGCTCCACTGTAAAATAGGTCACCCTACCTTGACAAGACCAAGGCCACTCCAGACATATGAAGAAACAAAAATAGATGTATCAGGGACATAAATGTTAAATACAAGAGTTCACAGGCATCAGACACCTTGAAGGATCATTGGCAGATTTTGAGATGATTTTGAGGACTGTAGATTTGGACTTAGTCATATAGATCCCTTGAAGTTCTACCTTCAGCACTGAAATCCTTTGTGGTTTGGATCAATGGGCAAAAGTTATATAAACTATGTAGGTGACATTTGCCTTGGTGGTAAGTTCAGAGAGATGCATAACAGAAAAGAGCTTGAAATAATGTCAATTACCTGTTTTAAACATTAAGATGCAGTAAGTGCAAGCTTCACTATTTAAGCTTTTATATTTTATTTAACAGTTTCTTTCTATTATCTCCTTTAAAATGTGGCAGTACAAATAGTAAATGTAGGAACAAGGAAGAGGGCTTTACAAGGGTGGAAATTAAGCATATATTCCTGTAGTCTGAATCATAAGTGCCTAGTTACAACTGTATACAACTTGTAGATCAGTGTGTGTAAAAGATACCTAGATGCACAACTACAAGGAATTAAATGTGTTTGTATATATATAAATACAGACAATTTTGTCAGAATTTGTACTTTGAATTTCTGAACTATGAAGCTGCTACTTCATTTACTTTTGGTTGTTCCATGTTTAGCTATGAGATAGGACTATTTGCTCTGGGGATTTTATTTTTTTCTCAGTGACTGTCATTATGGAGCTCTGAATGGAGAAAGTCTGTGGAACATTTTAAGGAAAAAGTAATAATGAATATAGAATGCCAATATAATCAGCACAGCTGCCCTGGCAGCTATGAAGCAGCATGTTCACTGTGTCTTTGGGTTTTATGTTCCCTGCTTATTTGAAGTAACTGCAATAATTGCCAAACAGGTGTTTCTGCCCTTATCATGTTCTGGGCATGATTGAAACACAAGACTCAAATTAACATGTTCACTTCACAAAATCCCTTTCTGGATCATCCAGACACATGGATTATCTCCGTGGTCTCCATGGTGGTCCACCAGTGGGCCACTTATGTAGACAGAAACTATTTTGATTGGGCATAGCTAAAAGAGTTCAAGAACCTAGGGGAAGCCAGAAATGTTTAATAAATAAATATCATGATAAATGCCAATCATGCCAAAACAAAATAATGGCCAAAAAGGGAAACATAACTAAATGAAACACAGCAAAATGTAATGGAAAGTAATACAAAATAACACTGCAGGTATAATAATACCTTTGTGCTTAGGTGGCGTATTGTGTCCAGTTCTCGACAATAACAATATGACATGTTTGTGAGCAGGAAAATGAAATGCTGAGAGAAGAAAGATTTTTGTATAAGTCATTTCAGAGAAGAGAGTTATTTTGGATAACAGATGAATAATAACAGTACATTGTGATTAGGACTGAGGTGCTTGTTTTTCTTTATCCTTTTCAGAGGAGAACAGGTCTGGAATTTTCTGCATTGTCTGAAGGCACTACATAAAGAGGAAATACTTGTTTCCACATGATGTGTAATCAACTCCTTGCTGAAAAACGGCGTTGTGCCCGAGAGGTTTGTAAGACTCAAAATACATGTTGATACAGCTAATGAGAAACACCACTGCTGCTGAACATAGCTTCACAGAAAATAAATAAATAAATAAATAAATGCAAAACTTCATGCTCCACTGCAGAAGACAAAAACTAACAAGCAGAAACCAGGGACAAACTTTCCCTCGTAAATAAGGGCAGAAACTAGAATATGAATTTTTAGATCTTCAAAAGAAAGAGGTTACTAAGTTGCATGGAGCAGTACTCTAAGTTCCTACATAAAGATGATCAGGGTTGTGAAGGGCTTCTATTTAAGAAAGTACAGAAGCAGGCAATCAGCATCAAACATATCAGGATATGTGCTGAACTTCCTGGATCTGATACTCTATTACGTCTCAGCAGTGCCTTAGTGTTGGCTTTACCCAGCCAAAGAACAGGAAAGGGCTCTGGTGCTGAAACAAGCCAATGATCAGAATATTATGTATATCTAAAAGAGATTTAAAAGCTTTATTTATTTATTTATTTTTAAATATTGCTCTCATGTTTGATTGGATCTGCCAAGCATTAAAACAAGTGGCTTATCACAAAGCTGAAGGGCAGAGCTAAAAGAATTTACCAGGCAATTTGGCATAAGGAAAGAAGTGGTCCAACATGTGCCTTTACTCCCCAAAGTCATCAAGCCAGCATTGTAGTTCCTATTTCAAATGTTCAGTAGTCACAGAAAGCATAAAGGAAAATGAGATCAGATTAAGTAAATGTAACATTTTGTTATAACAAAAAGTTCCTCTATCTTTTTGTTTATTTATTTGTTTGTTTGTTTATTTGCAGTTTGCATTTCTTCCTATTCTCTTCTTACAATGTATGTTACTTATCAAGGAATTTTAATTGTGGTTATTTTGAAATAAAAGTGCTGAGTTATTTTTCTTAGATGGAAAAAACTAACAAGCTCTTTAACAACAATCTGCAGATTGAAATAATTTTTAGCAGTGCAATACATGGTCTGGTTTTTATTCAGAGAAATTTTCGACACAAAATATTATTCTGCTACAGAGGTACAGTTTTACAAAACAGTTTAAGCCAGAAATCTCCTAACAGGGGGTTGCCATCTCACCGCTACTCATTGCTCTTTAACATTCTCAGATAAATAATTCCTGACAAATATACAGTCAAGGGAAAACAATATCCTGTCATGCAGTTTCATAGCAGTCTGTAATACCTACTCTGACTTGATTCAGATAAGACTGGTTGTCCTGTCCTGGGCAGTGTACCCCAAAGCCATGAATATCATTGTCTACGTAGTGCAAGCAAGTCTTACTGGCCCATCAGACTTATCTTTCCTAGATATTGATTTATTTTTGACTGTGGATAAAAGACTTTTGCTTTTTATTATTATTATTATTATTATTATTATAAATAGAATGTACTTTTTCGAATGTGTTTTTTTGTTATTTTATTCTTGATTTTGGAATCAACTTCTGAAAAGTTTTCTCCTGAAGAAGACAGTTTTGACATATAAAGAACATCCTTTTAAAAGATTTGTTCACTGGAATAATTTCAAATGAATGATCAGCACTTTACAAACATATATATATATATTTTCTCTTTCATTTCTTCTACTCCCCCTTTCCTCAGTTTTTATTATCTTTGAAAGGAACAGCTTTATTTATGAATTCATCCCTTTTGAAACCTTAGGGGTTTCTTTTGCTTATCCAAAAATTTTATCACATAATAACTCCTTGTGCTTCCTTTTTAGTTACATTCAAAAATTTCTTAGCAGGACTGAGATGAATACAACATTTGGGAAGACCTTGTATTTTCTTTCTGCATGAAAGATATTTCTAAAGCAATTCCATTTGTTGTCATTTGTGGATAACACATTTTTCTCTGTTGCAACTTTTTCTTAATTCTCTGCATGTTTGCAGAAAAAAAGAATAAAATAAAAGCATACTTATTTTATTGTCAGCCTATGTCTGGATCTTTTCTCTCTCTCTCTCTCTCTCTGTCTTTTTAAAATAGATTCTCCAAATCAATTTTCTTCAACCTTTTCTCAGTATGTGAATAAGAGTAAAACTCCAAATTGCTTTTCATTTATATTAACATCTCTTTTCTCTCTCAATGAATGTGCATCAATCTCAGAAACTAATCTCCTGGATTTTTATTTGTTTTACACTTGCTGTTACATATGCTGTTCTGGTAGCCTCTTCATTGTTTTGGAACTCATCGAAAGTTTCTCACAACAGTATAAATCATAGGAATGTTTCCCTTCCTTTCTCAGGGGTGATTATCAGAACATTCTCAGTCATCTGCATGTTGTGTCTGTCAGATGCTTATGTGCTCATTTAATGGATATGGTAAAATAGGAATTTCTTAAGCAGCTTTTTACATGGCAGATACATTCTCTGAATGAGACTTTTCTCTTTCAGTGAAAATATAAATCTCTGACTCTCTTATCTAGAGTGCCGTTTCTGAGCTGGGCACTGTCTTGTCTTAGTTATTTTTCCATTTTTAATGATATTGCAATATTATGAAATTCATTTCTCCTACTTCCTTTGGAAGGGGAAAACATTTTTTTTTCTGTATTTCTTCTTTGTTATTGTTCCTCAAATTTGATTTATCATGATTATGAGTGAGTGAAAGTCTTCACTTTCATAGCTAATCAAAATTTGACCTCAGTACAGTACTTACTGTTACATAGCATGACACAGTTTAGGGATGTGGAATGATAGGAATAGAAACGTTGGTTTGGACAAATTATTCTCCCATCCCAGCATCCTGCCTCTCACAGAACACAAGCTCTTTTATTCCTTAAGGGAATAAGGTACAAGAATATTCGCTGGACAATTATGAAAAATCTTGTGTTCAGGAAGAAGTTTATCTTCATTAGTTAGTACGTTAGTATGTGACTGCAGACATAATGATTTTATAAATCACTTACCATATTTACTCCAGTAGCGATATTGCCTATGGGTACATGTACAGTTATTTGTTTTTTTTTTTTTTAACTGTTGTGCTTGAGCTGTGGGATGGCACTTCATCAGCTTACATCCAAACCTTACACCTTTGTGTGCTCATCCTTAACAGCAAATGATAACAATTCACCTCCCTTCCTTCTCCATGCCTCCACAGTCAATTTGACTGCCAAGCTCTCACCTGAACCAAGCCTGGTACCTCACTTGGGACTCATCTCTCATCTCCCCAGTGCCACCTGGAATGGTAGGGCTGGGGCGGCCATGGTCCCACTGCCCAAGGACAAAGATGAGGTCCCAGGCTCCAGGTGCTGGGCACTTTGTGAGGGGTGGCAAGGGTGTTTGAGGCCTCTCTGCCATCTGAGAGCTGCCTGAGCCATCATAGAAATGATGGCTCTTCTACCTACATACCTCCTTAAATGTCCCCAGTGTTGAGGTAAACCTTAAGATTCAGTGGCTGAGAGTTCTGCCACTAAATGTTGCAATATTTTCTTTTTCCTTCAGGGTTATGTTTGTTGTCTGTCAGTTTTACACAAGACTTGATTATTCCTGTATTAGGAGAAAATGTAGCTGTAAAGAAAAATACCGGTATTTTTTTCATATACCATTCACTATTTTATATAGTCTTTTTATATCCTTTTAAATTCATTTCTTTCCCTGGCTAGACAATCTCTGTCTTTGCAATCTCTCATCACAGAAATTGTTCCATGTTCTTAGCAATTTTCATCACCCATTTCTACATCTTCTTTATCTCTTTTTCAAATAGATTGACCAGGATTGATTTTTTTTTTTTTTTTTTTTTTTTTTTTTTTTTTGACCACTGCTCTATGGGTCTTCATTCCACGGCATTCATTGTAAATTAGGAAAGCAGAACCCATCAGATTTGTTCAAATACAGGCTTAGAAGCTGCTGTATCATCTTATAGAGAATATTGCATTTTATCTGTCATTGTGTTGCTCATTTGACTCTGTAGCATTCTCTGACCTTTCATTTACCACAGGATTTATCTTATTTTGCAAAATGCTGTTCTGTTCTTCATTTCAGAGATATACCCACACTATTAATATAAAACACCTGCTTCCAGAACACTTGGTAAAGATGGTCAGTGTGCACAGCATTGCCACAGGAATTTGTGGGTCAACATTACCTATCATAAACCTATCCTAAGTTGAGTAGTTCAGGTGTGAAAAACACAGGCTATCCAGATGCCTAGCAGCTCTCCAGACCCTGTCACCCTAGTGAAGCATTTGTATGCCCAGGGCAATTGCCTGGAGATGTGTGAAGGTATAGATGACAGGGTCAGCTAGAGCATCTGCTGTGAGTAGGTATTGCTGGCTCACTGATAATCTAGGAAGGAGTACATGCTAGTTCTTTGTTTGTTTCTTATTTCTTATTTTTTATTTTTATTCAGTGTCAGATACGACATAACCTCTTTGACTCATATATTGTACCTTTTCAAAGCTGCCACCAGTCTGGTTCTGAGCTTTCTGAGCTACCATTTCTTTTCTGATAGCAATCAATTTTTAATAAAAGAAAATATTTCAGTTTCATAAGAAAACAAAACAAAAGGGGAAAAAAATACCTTTCTTCCTTTGCTTCTTAAAAGGAAATAATACTGTTTGTATGTATTTATTTGTATAGAAGTTTCAGTGCTTTCTTTACTCATCCTATGTTTTTGTTTGAAGCAGAATCACTCTGTTTTGTAAAGAAAGCTAGTATTAAGGCTTTTGCTATACAGCATTGAATGCTGTTAACAAAACTTGACAATATTCTGAGTTTCTAGGAAATGTATTGTCATTTTCATGCTTGGGTGCTTGAGACTAGATATTGCCACTTGTTGCTACTATCCATCCAAAGGATAGTTCTGTTAGCCTTGCCATCTCACTCTTGTAAATGTAATTTTGAGACAACAGTCTTAATGTCTTCCCCATGTTATAGAATAGTTTGACACACCTGATGATTTCTGCAGCCAAACCCCAAAATATAGCCTTCAGTCATGTGCTTTCTTGGATGTCACAAACAAGTACCTAGTTTTAAGATCCATATTTGTGAAAGGAGAAAACAATCTGTCAATAGCTCATGAAACTAGAAGTTTATCCTAGGTCTGCCTTTGCAACGACTAATTTCATTTACAGATAGTGTTTGTCATGCAGTAAATTCTAAATTCTGTAAAGGGAGTTGTCAATTTTCTCTAGAAGACTTAAATTGATAAATAGCATCTCTACATCAAAAAGTGATCCTGATTAGCTTTCTATTTCCACCTTTAAATGACAAGGTTAAAATAGAATGTCATGAAAATGATCTAGAACATGTAGGTATCTTGTACTCCTTGAATTTCTAAGACATACATTGACTTCTCTAAGGCTGATATTGGCAGACACATACCTCTGATATACTGATAGAACTCTGATTTACTCTATAAAATTACTAGCAGCTTACATATATTAAAATAATAATAATAATAATAAAAAAAAAATCATAGCTACATAGAGTTTCCAAAATCTGGATTTCCCTTTTTCATCTTGCAATGTTTCATGACGAAAGTGAAAGCAATGTTAAAAATGTATAAATAATGGTACTGGAATATTTCTGAGACTGAGAACACTTGGAATTTCAAAGAGGAAAGTGAGTTTTTGCTTTCACTTTAGCAGTCAAATCAAATTGAAGTTTTGCTGGTTTTTTTTTGTTTGTTTTTGTTTTGTTGTTCACAGAATCACAGAATTTCTAGGTTGGAAGAGACCTCAAGATCATCAAGTCCAACCTCTGACCTAACACTAACAGTCCCCACTAAACCATATCCCTAAGCTCTACATCTAAACGTCTTTTAAAGACTTCCAGGGATGGTGACTCCACCACCTCCCTGGGCAGCCTGTTCCAGTGTCTAACAATCCTTTCAGTAAAGAAGTTCTTCCTAACATCTAACCTAAAACTCCCCTGGCGCAACTTAAGCCCATTCCCCCTCGTCCTGTCACCAGGCACATGGGAGAACAGGCCAACCCCCACCTCACTACAGACTCCTTCAAGGTATCTGTAAACAGCAATAAGGTCGCCCCTGAGCCTCCTCTTCTCCAGGCTGAACAAGCCCAGCTCCTTCAGCCGCTCCTCGTAGGACTTGTTCTCCAGGCCCCTCATCAGCTTCATCGCCCTTCTCTGGACCCGCTCAAGCACCTCCATGTCCTTCTTGTAGTGAGGGGCCCAAAACTGAACACAGTACTTGAGGTGCAGCCTCACCAGAGCCGAGTACAGGGGGACGATCACCTCCCTAGCCCTGCTGGTCACACTGTTTCTGATACAAGCCAGGATGCCATTGGCCTTCTTGGCCACCTGAGCACACTGCTGGCTCATATTCAGCCGACTGTCCACCATCACTCCCAGGTCCTTCTCTGCCTGGCAGCTCTCCAACCACTCATCTCCCAGCCTGTAGTTCTGCTTGGGGTTATTGCACCCCAGGTGCAGGACCTGGCACTTGGCCTTGTAAACTTCATACAGTTGACCTCAGCCCACCAGTGCAGCCTATCCAGATCCTCCTGCAGAGCCTTCCTACCCTTGAGCAGATCGACACACGCACCTAACTTGGTGTCATCTGCAAACTTACTGAGGGTGCACTCAATGCCCTCGTCCAGATCATTGATGAAGATGTTAAAGAGGACCGGCCCCAGCACCGAGCCCTGGGGGATGCCACTAGTGACTGGCCTCCAACTGGACTTGACTCCATTTACCATGACTCTTTGGGCCCGGCTATCCAGCCAGTTTCTAACCCAACGAAGCGTGCGCCAGTCCAAGCCATGAGCAGCCAGTTTCTTGAGGAGAATGCTGTGGGAGACGGTGTCAAAAGCCTTGCTGAAGTCAAGGTAGACCACATCCACAGCCTTTCCCTCGTCCACCCAGCGCGTCACTTTGTCATAGAAGGAGATCAGGTTCGTCAAGCAGGACCTGCCTTCCATAAACCCATGCTGACTGGGCCTGATCGCCTGCTTGCCCTTCAAGTGCCGCATGATGACTCCCAAGAGGATCTGCTCCATGAGCTTCCCTGGTACTGAGGTCAAACTGACAGGCCTATAGTTTCCCAGGTCTGCCCTCCGGCCCTTCTTGTAGATGGGCGTCACATTCGCTAGCCGCCAGTCAGCTGGGACCTCCTTGTTGTTTGTTTTCTTTCAAGAACCACAAAAAAAGAGAAAAAAGACAGTCCCAAAGGGTTGAAAACAGTAAATGATGAATAACAGGACTTCTAATCTCTTCTTCTCTGTGAGTTTTAGCTAGGAGAAGAGCTTTGAGTGCTGGGGAGAGGGGTCAGTCTTAACTCTGACACAATGACATTTCAGAATCAGTTCAGTGGGCATTCCTCCATTTCATTTTGTCATAATTTGTACTGGCAACCACAGCAGTGCCATTGGTGATTCATCTTCTCTGACAGTATGGAGGTCACATTATAAGTATCCTTCCTTTGATTCTGTTAATTAAATATAGCTGAAGACCAAATATTAATAATAAAATCTATTGTTTCTCTGAGTTTCATGGATAGCTAAGTGTTAAATGTGAATACCCTTCTGATATATATTTTTTTCAGTCTGGATTAAAATTCAAGTGAAAGAATTAACCTATCTGCCTCTACACTCCACAGGGATTTTTATTATTCAGATTTATTCATTAGAAGACTTGCTATTCATGTTTGCTCTATTTGCTTTCATTAAATGTTTGGCGTTAAATGCCTTCCTATTGCGTTGCTGAATAAAAAATAAAAAAAAAAATAAAAATAAAGTTTGAGTGTTGTGATATAAAATTCATATATCCTGATCAATATAAATGATGTATTCTTTTAATAGAAAATAACACTGAGTAAACAACAACAGGCAAATACACATTAAAAAATATAATAAAATCAGTGAGTTCATGGTCATCAAAGACAAAATTTCTCCTTATGGAAATAAATATGATACACCTGCGTCATGATTTGTATTTCAAAATACAGGAATTCTGCATTTTTTCATTCATTAAGCACATTTACAAAAAACAAAAACAAACAAACAAAAAAACCAAAAACAACAACAAAAAAAAACAAAAAAAAAACAGTTAATTCAAAGACATATTAATGTATTTTTCTTTTTTTTTCACAGCCAATGGAACAAATGTGGTTCCAAGTACACTACTATACCAACCTGCTCAACCATTTTATAAACTGATTTAAAAAATCACACAAAGCAGTTGTAAAGAGGGAAAAAAAAATCCTCCAGCTGTTTTTTCCCCTGCACGAAACTCTAGTTCTCTAAAAGCCACTTTATTTTTTTATTTTTATTTTTGTATTTGGACTAATTCCTGCTTGGCAGGGTGGCCATCCTGCACCAGGCTAGCTGGCTTCCAGGCTGCCAGCAGCTGCCAGTGAGTTCCTGTGCTCAGGAAAGAGGTACCAGCTCTTTCTGCCAAGGTTAATCCCAAGGCAAGCACTTGGACTCAAAGCTTGCAGTTTTGGGTCTGGCTGCTCTGTGGGATTCACCTTAAGGCAGGCTCTGTTTTCTCACTTTCTGTAGGGGTGGCCTGGAGTTTGGGCTCAGTGAACCAACTGGTGTCCCTGTGAAAAGTCTTTAGTGAGCAAATTTTCAAGTCTTCTACCTGCCCTGACTGTTCCCAGCACAGCCACATCCATCAGAAGATGATTGTCCTTGACAGAGCCCTGTTATTTCTGCTGTGAGGGAAGGCAGGACTTGCTGGTAGCCTGTGCTCTGGTCCACCCCCAGAGCAATATGGAAATGAAGTTCCAGGTCCCTGGGCCACCCTGTGCTACCAACAATTTATAAGATCACTTGGCAACAGTTACAGTTGCGGCCTCTTCCTCATCTTGCCTCATCATGAGCTGTACAGAGCAGAGCCACTGTCATGGAAAAATAAATTATGATAATTTAATTTCAGTGGTGGTGCTACCTATATTGATGCCTGACTCTCTCAGCCTCAGATTCAGAGATTTTTTTAGGTATCTATCACCATCCATATATATCACCACATCATTTTCTCGTGTTTTCTGCAGCCTCATAGTACCATGCTGTCAGTGTAATTAGATGTCCTCAGTCAATCACAGATGATGCTTGAACTCCAATGGGCAGTCAGTGTACTCCAATAACCGCTGTTGGTCAGTGACTACATGTGGGGTCAAGTTTAAAATGCTATTCAGGAAGAAGAGATGATTCAGGGTGAAGATGCTTAACCCCCATTAACTCCTCAGCAATCCCCAGGCTGAGTTTGTTCTCATAAAAGACAGGTGTAATCATTTCTAAAGAGCTTTGGTAAAACCAGAGGTTGTGTATGGGGTGCAGCCCCGCAGGCACTGTGACAGAGGCATGGTTCCCCAGGGATGTGCTGCCTTAGCCACTACTCCCCCCTGGCCTTATCCTGATGCCCTTGGTTTTAAACAGATCCAAATTGGGTGGGCTATAACTCTTTATTTGCAGCTCATATTTCTGTAACCCTCTGCCCCGGTGCTTTTTCACATCGATTCACCTGCTGGTGAGATATTTGTAAGGGCACCAGTATCCAAAGACTTTGAACTGTTCTGCCAAGACAAGAAAGGCAGTAATGAATTGAGCAGCATTAATGAAGGGCAAGAAAATGGTGTTTGACTTCCTCCCCAAACCCAGAATAGTCATTAATGTTAATAGGAGTCTCCTCTGTGCCCCGTACCTCCACACGCAGACAGCTTACTTAAGGGGAAGCACGTGAGGTACCAAGGCAGTGCTCTTCAGGGTGCTTCAGTCACTCAGATTTATTCCCAGCAGATCAAAGGTCAGTGCAAATAGGAAATCTCTATTAATTACTTCTTAAGCTTATGTTCACAACAGTTATTGCCTCCTATTTTAGTTCAGTAGCATGAACCCAGCAAGGCCTGCTAAAATGAGAACCTTCGAACCTTCTGTTAAATGAAAATCATTTTAAAAATAACAATGAAGACAACACGCTTCCTCAAAATAAAATTACTTTCACATAATTAAATGAAGATAAACGGTCCCTGGATTCTCTAAGTATATTTGCAAGAGAAGTCATATTTTGGTCACATCATTTGCATTACTTTACAACTTTTATTTCCTACTTTAAACAAGGCTGAGGAAAAATTCTGTCCTAGTGATTACAGAAACATGAGTCTGATAGGGAAGAGATGATTATTTAAGTCACATGCTGAGCTGTTATTTTCTAGGAAATTTCACACCAGAAAATATGAGGCTGCCTAAACACTAGGGCAGCCTCAGTTACTGCCTGTCACTGTACATCTGCATTACTGACCGCCTTTCAACAAAAACAAAGCATAAACCAAAGCCCAGCCTGAGGGAAAAAGCCAGCTACAGTCCAAGCCCCACTTCTCATGGAGCCTGATGCAACTCCCAGAGGGAGCAGAGCACAGCTCTGGCCCAGAGCAGCTGATTGTGCTGATGTGTTTGGGATCAGGCGACAAGTGATGGTTCCACAGCATGAGCCTCTGCCTAGCATAAGCAGTAATTCTCAAGGAGTACAAATATTTGCTTTTACCCTATTGATCACAGGTCATCAGGGACATTAATGCAGATCCCAAAGACTTATATATTAGCTCAAATTCAGTCTTATGTCAATATGAAATCAGTCCTTGGTTGTTGCCTTTTTTATTTTGATAGTTACTCTGGCAAAGTATGGAATTGTTTATATTTTTGTGTACTTTCTAGTAAATTATACAATTTTTGAGTAATCAGTTATTTGGATAAATATATACATCATTGGAATTCAAACTTACTTGA